ACAAAGACATCAAGAGAGGGGAGCTTGTGTTTGAGGATGAGGGAAGTAGTTTCGCTATTGTCACGCGGCCTTTTGTTGAGAGGCACTGGGGGGAAGAGGAAAAACAAACTTTTACTGAATACGCATGGCCGCTAGATGGTGACGGCCATGTGTACGCCATTTGGGAGAGCGACCCTAGCAAATGGCGTCCCATTAATCATTCCTGCAATCCAAACTGTATCTTTGGCGAGGACCATTCACTGAACGTTATTGCCTCCCGCGACATCAAGAAGGATGAGGAGCTTACAATGGACTACTCGACTTTTTGCGACTACACGATGAAGCCTTTTCCCTGTAGTTGTGCCTCGGAGTGTTGTCGTGGAATGATAGTTCCGGATGAAGCGGCACTGTACAAGTACGGCACAAATGTATGGCACCGACGACCTCCTATTCCCCCGTCGAAAACCGTTTGATGTGGCTCATTACATACATATAGCTTAATTGCTTTTTAGAATACGTTTTTTTTTTTTTCTTACCCTTGGACCAGCGTCCTATATCATCTCCTCTTTATCGCTCTCTGTGTGGGATGTGTGTGAAAGAGAGGGATTGGTAGGACGAAAAGTTGCATTTTGTTCACATTTACTGACGTATGCCGCATTTTTCTCAGGGGCGTTCCCTTTTTTTTTTTTTTTTTTTTTGTCGCTTTGATGGCGCTCCCAGGGACGCCATTGGTAGTGCATATAACAAAACTCAAAGCCTTCACCCGCTCTTGCGGTGGGCTTACGTGCAGCGGAGGGAAGCTGAAGAGGAAAGGAGAGGAGATGAGATGAGAGGGAGACGTCCTCAGTGTCTATATTTGAAGAAGATTACATAGAAAGGACCATTTTTAACTTCTTCTTATGAGCGTTTGTGGGACTTAACTATTCAGGCGGTTTTGCGATGTTGTCCACTGCCCTTGTGGTTTATTTAAATTTTTGGAGTTGTTGTGGTTTTTCAGGTTTACCGCTTCCTGCTGCGGTTATTGCGTGGC